AAACTTCAGACAGTATTTGGTATTGAAGCAGGTAACCAGAGCTCCAGGTGGCGCTGTGGGTCTGGAGACTGACTGCTCTACAAAGCCCTGTGGAACATGTGCTGACAGCTGAAACTGAAGTTCAGAACTACAGGGTTTTCTCACACTCACACCAACGTTTAAAGCCCTGATCATTTGAACCCAATGTTGCTAAGAAAGTCATCTGTCCTACCCTGCAGGGATCAACCCAAGCCCCAAGGAAGTGCGCCTGACACTGAAGCAAATTATGTTTGTTGTGCCCAAACGGTGGTGATATAACTTTTGCGTCACTCTGCGACTTCATAAGGCCCAAAAATACTTTCCCCCATTGACTAACATGAGGAAAGAGACATCTGTAAATCAGATAATTTTGTTGTTAAATCTACTACCCAGTCTCGATAGCCCTTATTTAAATCGTTAAGGTTTAACGGTTGTATAATGCGCTAAAAGCTGAATCCAGAGTTATTTCCCCCCATCGCCGACGTTTTATCCAGTTATTTTTATACATCCACCAATTAACCAGACTGGTTGATGGACACACTAAATGTGTTATTCTTTAAGCATGTTTCAATCACAAAGAACCCCAAATATGCAGGTTCTAGCATCACAGACTTATATTTCAACTTCTCTTAAATTATAGTAAGTTCAAAATCGGTGTGTTGTTGGAAAGGAGTCATATTGCAACCATGTTCTGACCCTTTCTGGGGGTCATGATTTCTTGATTTACCAAATATTTCCGTTTCATTCTCTATGGCGATAAGCTGTGATGCAGTTAAGCTTTTTAATCTTTCTTTCCATAGATCCAGACATTTTGGAAATCAGTTCAAATAATTTTAAACAAATTATTTCTGTGGAACAATAATGTATTTTTCTTTTCAAGAACAGAAAGGTGTTGCATTGTCTTGCTCATTAATCTTTGGCAGAGTTGAATTATAAATATTCTGAAACATGCATTGTTTGTCAGCCTGTAGTCTGATTCATTTCCTTTGTTGCCACATTTCAAAACAATGCATGACTGACATGCAGAAGATACAATTGAGTTACCAGATCATCTTGCTTTGGCCTTATGGCAAAACTCTGGTCAAAAACTCCACAAAAGAGTGGGGCCTTTCAAAATATATTTTTACACACATTATATATATTATTAAATACATCAGGGCTCGACAGTAACGGTTGCCAGGTTGCCATTGGCAACCATTCAGAAAAAATGTCAACCACTTCTTGGCCTTTGGTTGCTATCAGTGGCAACCAGTTTTTAACATAAAGAAATAAGGACAGCAAACAGCTAAATGTGCACCCCAAAATAGATAAATGTTAATTATTTGTTGTATTGAGAGTGATATTTAATTATTGTTGTGACCAGTCGGAACCTGATACTTAAAGAGCCTGTGACAGCATCCCAACAACTGTTGTGCAATGAAATATTGGGCTACTAGTAATCTCGAACAGTCAGCTTAAAAAAGAAGGTGCGATACCGTTCCGATAAATATCAATCATTTCGAACATCGCGGGGAAATTCCTTCGACTCATTTTGGGGGAAGCCGGAAGTGACGTCAATGCGGGAACGCTTCACTGTGCGGCGAGAGAGCCAAACACGGACAAAGTGTGTTGTCATGCGTAGAAATTGTGAATTACTGAGTTTAGTTACGTCAATAACGTTGTAATGAAGTTGACTACAGTATATTCATATTTGTCAGTGCTTTCATGTCAATTCGGCGAACATAAACATAAATGATCGTGGTGAAGATGATGATTACATTAGGATTAAATATTGGTAGTGAGAGCTGCTGAATTTCCTCCCGTCTGAATCGAACAAATCGATAATTTTTGTAGTTGTAAACTCAAGTGGATGAAACTACATTTATTAGTGCTTTCATGTCAATTCGCGAATATATGATACATTAAATGATCGTGAGGATGATGATTGAAAATCGTTTGTTTGAGTCTGCATTTCCTGATGAGAAAACAAACCGATGCTTTTTGTAGTTGTAGTACACCAACATGGATTAAACGTGTGTTTTTTTTACCACAATGTTGGGGAAATTAATGGATAAAATGCACGGATTATTATTATTATTCCCACTCCGATCGGGACACTAGGTCCACCGTTTCCCCGCAGCGAGGCTCCCCCCGTTGACAGTTTACGTGGGCTGGGCTGGGTGCAGTGGCGGACTGGCCATTGGGACGAATCCCGATGGGCCGGTAACGAAGTGGGCCGGTCGGATAAGTCACTAGCACATCCCCCATTTTCCCCATTGACAATTTACTAGCGGTACCGAAGTGGGCCGGTCGAGAGTCCCGGGATGATTTTTAGTAGGGATGCTCCGATCGCCAATTTCGGGGCCGATCGCCGGAATCAGTATCGGCCGATACCGATCGCCGATCCGATCGAGTGGGCGGGGCCTAAATGGAAGATTTAAACATCACTTTAAATCTTCCATTTAAAGTGATGTTTAAAACTCAGTTAATGGGGCTCATTCACTGGAGCTTCCACAAACAACAATCAACTTAATTATTACATTCAAATGATGTACATTATTCAAGTTTACATTCACTTTGGATAATAACACGGGAGAAATTAGCGGAAGCGCTCTCTTTTCCTCTCTCCCTCCCTCTCCCTCCCTCTCTCTCTCTCCTGACAGCCTGTCAGTATCTCATGCAGCTCACTGATCCAGTAATGAGTGACCCGACAATGAAGAATACATATATTTATAATAACTAGTTTAGCTTGTTCCAGAGGTAGATCAAATAGCTAAGTGTGTTGGGTCTAACTCTTACGGTACGTCCACACAGCAGCTTTTCAAAAATCTTGAAAATCTTGGAGCTGGGCGTGTCTGAAAGCTTGGGGATTTTTTGCGAGCAACGCAACCAACAACCAATCACATGAATCTCCCGCCCCCGACATACAAAGCAAAAAAACCCCGGGGATTTTATGCGAGCAATATATATATATATAAACTCCCCAAACAGGCGAAAACCTACCAGTTTCACCCACTGTCTCTGCCACCTCCCTTCCATGCCTGGTTCCTCCGGTTTGTATCCCGTTAATAGTTCTGGTCGTAAAGAACCGGGTGATTTGCTACCGTAATTTCTCGTTTGGAATATGAGGAAATGAACTGCGGTCTGGTTCTCCCTGTGTGTGTGTTTCGCTGCGCTTACCTGTCCGGCGGGCGGAGCTGCAGGATTTCTGCTTCACACACGTTGCATACCGCTATTTTACTGTCTTTTTCGGACACCTTACAATAATGCCAGACCGGTGAAGCCATTTTGGCGAGCTTGTTTTGCCGCACACAGAGAAAAGTGTCATGTATTTTACGTCATGCTCTCGCGATCGGCATGTTTAGAGAGCACCGATCGATCGGTAGAGAGTGAGTATCGGCCGATATCGATCGGTGACCGATCGATCGGAGCATCCCTAATTTTTAGTCCCAGTCCACCACTGGCTACATGACCGTATGATCGCCCATATTGACGCACCTAATTCCTAAACTTCTAACAGATACAACATAAACCGATCCTTCAGCCTCATATGAGCTCTCAGACACGTTCAAAATTAAACTGTCTGAGCTGTCTGAGCTTGCTGCTGTGTGCGCCATCGTGCGTTTTCATGCAGATGCTGGGATCCGGAACGGTGCAGCTGGAGCTCCTGGCCCGCAATTACGTCACACATAATTTGGCGGGACTTGAAGAATCCCCGAGAAGATCCAGGAAATGGTCAACATTGAAGGGCAGATTAATGGTTATCAAAGTACAAATATCCAAAATCAGTTCAGTAACGGTTTTCAAGGGGACAATATTTACTCAAATGGATGGGTTTGGATGATGGGTGAAACCCGTGTCACAGGCTCTTTAAGTTGCACGTGCATTGGTGTGATTACGGAGCCAGAAAACAATGCACGTTTACTCGCGTGGGCACATGGCGGTGCACCGTGTGTTTGTTTTACAAAAAATGGCGAAGCAAATTAAGTTGTTTGACTGTGCGGTAAAAAGTTCAGCCAACCCGTCAACATCTCAAACGAATGTTCAAAGTGATTCAACTGATAAAGCGCAAGGTGAACCCGAACGAAAGCAAAGAGGAAATGTGTAAAGTCTTGGGAGGCGAAATATATATGTACATTCTGCTTAGTTGTGCATTCACTTCCGGTAAAAGTTCCTTCAAAATAAGAGTCCCGATCTTGTTACTACCAAAATAAAAGTGCTAAACGAAACTTTACCATAGGAGAATATCGGCATACAAATATAATCACTTCTATAAAAAGGTCACACATTTTAAATATAGTTAGACATATTAAAGGTAATTTACAGCATTACTAATTAATATCTAATTCCTAACTGTGAATGGTTTTCATTTATTTAACATTAGAAATGTATTAGTCTGGCCAATGACAGAATCACAATCAAGACTTCGATGCTGAAGGGCCAGTGGATCTATGTTGGGGGTCAGCACAAAGGTCAAGAAAACCCACATTTGAAAGGGAGACAACGGATGACCAAGAAACTAGTGACTTGCTCAATTCATTTGTGAGGGATCTGTGAAGAACATGACAGCAGCTGCACCACTTGTATTTAGTATACCAGCAATTGAGGGTGGACAAGTTTCCTACCACTTAAGTTTCAAATAATTGTGTTAATTACTTATTGTAAAGCATTTGAACATTCTTTTGTGTCACATGTTCATTATTAAGTTGATGTATAACTGTATAGTATCTTCATTATTTAAAATATAAGGTGACTAAAAATGGCAACCGTATTTTCAGTTTTGGCAACCAAAAGTTGATGCCTGGTTGCCAGCCTGGCAACCACTTTTAAAAGTTAGCGTTGAGCCCTGTACATCTATTTCTATATTTTTAAGATGAATCACTCTTCAAAACATGTCAGATACTAGAGAAAATGTTTTTAAAAGTATTGAAGAAATAGGAAACGATGTTGGATGGTGGTCCTGTGTGACAGACTGGTGCTGACTCTGCTCTTGTGTCCTCCAGAGATGGGCAGTGAGTTGCCGGGGACCGTCGCCATGCCGGGGGCCGTTGGAGCCGGTCAGGTGAGGATGGGAGGAGCTGTGCCAGGCCGCGGGGGGAAGAGGAGGTCAGGAGGGTGAGTACCTGCTCCAGAGAGTAACCACTACATATACTGTACATCGTTACAGCAAGAGGTTTAAATATTTTTAAAGCAGAGTCTCAAAATAACAGCTGACAGTTCCCAGGAGACAACAGATGTTTGTGGGTCCCCTTTCACACTGGCTAGTAACATCTGCCTCAAAGAGTGTCTACACAGTGTGCATGGCATCTTATGGAACCACGTGGAGAAAAAGCACAGCAGCGTCTTTTCCGAGCGCTCTGCAGCAGGTATGACTGGTTTGGTTTGAAAACATTGCACATTTTCAGAAAAGCGTCTGACCGTCTCCCTGAGATGGAAACTATAATAACAAAGACAACGAGCCACATCTTCTGTTTGGTTGTATTAGTGAAAAAAAAAAGTCAAACCGATAATAAAATCCAAGAGGACGATGCTAGTCTGTTTGACAACAGCACTGATGCGTTGTCGAGATATCCTTTAGAACACAGAACAATAAGTCAATCAAAAGGGGTGTGAAGCACCCAGCTTCATACTTCCTTTTGGACTTTTTTTCCATGTAATTGCAAACAAATATTCCAATGGAAAGTGTACTGTGTTCAGATTGGTTGATGTGCTTGTCATAGATTGTCCCATCAGGATCAGTGTGATCTCAGTATTTAAGGTCTGGCTGCTGACCCAGTAGTTTGTTCATATTCTGATCAGGCAATTATTGGGTTTTAAACTGTGTGTATTCTTGAAAGGCACAACATCTACCTTTGCTATGCTCCATGTAACTGCCGACCTGCCTATCATCCATTTACAAATCATAGCTCTTTTAATAAGCTTAGCGGCTTTGTTGACTCTATTGTTCAAAGCATCTGGGAGCATACCGGTCATTTATTAACCAAACAGCGTTCTTTTATTCAGTAACCACTCACTGTTTATTGGGGGAACAGAGTTTTCAGTTTTTTTATATTTCCAGGCTTGGACAGAAATAGCACTTGGGTTAAAAAAAAAGCAAGAAGTTCTATAAGGGAAATAGTCAGTTTAATTCTATAACAGATTGTGTAACCATAGTGTTTCAGGTTTAAGTGTAGGTGGAGACGTTTTTATGTTTTGCTTTTCTTTCCCTCCTCCTCGGTCATTTGCTGTCTTGCATCGACTATTCAGTACAGGGGAAATTCTGCACAATGTATACAAACAAAACATGTTGCAGAGTAATGCATATTAATGATGGAACAACTAGAACATTTCAGAAAATGAAAGCGATATATATACCAAAATCTAAGAGTGTCATATCACAGTATTGGTATAATATCCATATACTGCCTAACAAGTAGGTGCTGTCTCACTATTTCTCTGCCTCTCTCACTAGCACACCGGCTGTTTTATTGATTTGCTGAAAGATGGTGGTGCCATATGTGTTGTTGATTTGCGACCATTACTAAAAAGAATATATGTTTAGCAGAAAAGGCTGAAAGAGTCATTTAGTATTGTGACATGAAATATATGTTCAGCAGCGGTTTACATTACTGCTGCTGTCTGAAACGCCCCATCATTAAACATAGGGACATAACTAAAGCACCCTGCATCACACACAGCTAAAGTACAACACACTAATCTTTATTTTCATGAGATCACTGTACTTGATATATATATGTTCTGGTGAACTTCTTATCTTCACTGCCTCCATGATAGCTAACCTGAGCTGACGATACTTAACCTGTAAAGCATCTTCTGTTGTGACATATGGAGAGATGTCTTTGTGGGTACTGGTCACACATAAATGATTGTTTTAATGATCACCATCTTCTCCTAATTGATCCTAGTAACTGGGTTCTTCGTGAAGGGGCTATACAGTGCAGAAACAGGGCCGGGCCCCATCGCTTCAATATGATATGTATATAGGAATTATTTAGACAAACACATTAATACAACATCTTTTAAAGAACAATTACATTATTAATTCAAAAAAATATTTGTGATTCATGTTTTGGTCCTTTAAACTCCATTTTGTTCTCTTGTAGATGACAGGGAATACCATCAAATACTTAGTATTTGAGATAAGATAAGATGTACTTTACTGATCCTAAATTAGGAAAAATGATTTGTCATGACAAGGCATTGCACATCATTTGAAAAAATAAAAAGGGTAGGAAATAAACAAACATAAAATAGAAACATTTTTTAAAACGGAACTAAAAAGAAAATATAGTTGACCGTGACCATGAAAACCTGCATAATGATAGACTTAAATAATGAATCACTTTTTAGTTGCTTTAGTTACTTTTTTGACAATTCAATGAGCTCTAATTTAAGAGGATTTTTTCTACCCCTACCAACAATGATGTGTCCTTTCTGAATATTGGGTAAACATTAGCTCTTCATCCTCTCCTTATTAAATAATAATGCTTTTTCTGTCATTGTAAAAATGAAAGGAAAATAAGCAATGTGACTACCTTGTACATCTAATCTCCAGGGGCCAGCTCGATGCATTTAACCTGTACACAGCATTAGGCCTGCATACACATGAATTAATAATCAGGTTCTTGGCAATACGCCAAATAAACTTGGCTCAGCGAGGCTACAGGGACTGTTATTGTCTGTCAATTATGCTTTATTTATTAAGGTGTGTGTGTGTAGTAGAGGCAGGTTGTAGTTCAGTAAGAGGATCCAAAGTCAACAACAGACACATTGATCCTCTCCTCAGCCCCTGATGCTGCCACGATGCATGAAGCCCCCAGCTTGATGGAGCATACCAAACAGCATACTGTGTGTGTACCAGAGGTCGCGTTAACCGAATATTTTCCGTCAATGACGGATTTTTTCTAACAATGACGGAAAAATCTGAAAGCAGTCCGTCATTTTGACGGATTAGAACACAACTCGGAACAGCGCCAAAATGTCCACCAGCGGCCAACATTATATTACATCCTTAGTGGCCAGGTAGACTGAGGGCGATCTACTGTACTCTACTGTAACTATTATTTAGTCATTCACATGCTGTCCAGTTGGTGGCGAGTGTGTGCATATTAAGTAGCTATTGTCTAGTCTTGTTTTTGACCTCGTTGATTACCTCGTTGTTTAACCGGCTTTAGCAATCGCAAAATGTCACGGCAGCTGATCGTCCGAAGCTTTTTTAATAAGCCCAGTAATTGTGATGGTGTGGATAAACGAGGTGAAAAGAGGGATTGATGCGGTGGAGGATGAAGGACAAGCCAGTAAGACTAAGACTGACAACGTTCAGCCAGCGGCAGAGGGGCAAGCAAGTGGCAAGGAGTTCAAGCGGGAGTACCGGGTTCAGTGGGAGCAAGAGTTTAAGTGGCGGAGGAGGGAAGATGGCAAAATGTTCTGTGACATCTGTAGAAAAGCTAAGATGAGTAACGGATTTGTCCGAGGGTGCACGACGATGCAGAAATCAGCGTTCAGGCTACAGCAGGTCAATTGAGTTGTTCTTGTAAATTTTTTGTTCATATTTTGATTGTAATTGTCTCATTTAAACGATGGCATCATATTTGCCTGTTTAGGCACAATGGTCTTGGTGTTTTTAGCGGCCTCAGCCCCCCTCTGCTGTGCTGTCAGTGCAGGAAAAAATAAATCATTCATGTTCGTGTTGACATGAAAAGTGACCACACGGTCGGTGTCTCTGTTCATCTTTTTTTTTCTCCATGCCCTTAAAATTTCTGTGTGAATCATTAAAACATGAATGAATGAACATTTGCTGCTCAGTACCCAAACATAAATATTAAATAGGTCTCATCTCATCATTAAAACATGAAAAATAAAATGACGGATAATAATGGATTATGGCTGAAATTTTACGATCCTGTCCGTCAAAATGACGGACAACGAAAAAGTCTAACGCAACCATTGGTGTGTACATGCAAATATCCAGAGGGAAGTGCTTAGAAGAAAGATCTGTGCGATAGCGAGGTGTGCTGGGCATAACGTTAGTTTTGAATATTAAAAAAGGTGGATTTTAAACTGGTAAGATCACCATGGTTACCCAGGCAAAACGCCTAACATGGCCAAGAACAAGTTATCTTTAGAGTTTTGGTTCGTAATTGGCTATAAAAAGCTTATTTGAACAATCAACTGCTTTGGAAAAAGCCATTGACTGTAACCGTATTTCCCCTTATGCTTCACCTGCTCCAGGGAGCTCACATTATTATGTGTTGGTACTCCCGGAAAGAAAGTTGTTTCCATTACATTGCATAGCGTCCCTCCCCATCTTTATCAACCTTTGCTTGCCAAGGAAACTGCTTTTAAGCTTTTGAATGAATTGTTGTTAAGTAATAACCCCTTTTTAAGGCGAGAAACTAACAATTTAGAATACCAATATGTGATTAGTTTATCGCATTTTTGGGAATTTATAGGGGTGCAGCTGATCAGCTTATCAATAGCACATATCAAAAATGTTTTTGGAATTACCCTGACTGGCTGAACGGTAGACACGAGTCTGCACTTCATTTGTGGACAGATCCGTTGGCTTTTTCTGACCATATTCTCTATGATCAATATGGATGATTAGCTCAGGAAATACCTAATATATGCAAACCTGTTTTGTTAAACCGTCAAATCAATGATGACACTGAATAAAACCTTGCAATTACAACAAGTGCGCAATAATCATCACTTGTTGCCCATTTATTGAATCTCTTTCTTTTTCTTTGATCAGTGGAGCTGAGATATGCAATTTAAAGCAGAGGTGTAGAAACAGGATGTGATGCGCAGCACTCTGACACTCTACTCTGCCTTCCCTTTATATCACCTTTAATCTTTCCTTTTAGGAGACTATGTGTGTACATATTGGTCATTATACTGCAATGGCAATAGTACATGCTGCTCAATTAATCGTATTTTAATCGTATTTTAATCGTATTTTAATCGCGATTACGATTATGGCTTGCAACGATTACGAAAACCACGTAATTGAAATAAAACGATTATTTTTTTATTATTTTATTTTTTAGTTTAATTATACTTAAAGTTCAGGGTAATCAACTGTTACAAACATACTGTTCAAATGTTTTTTCTCCAATAAATTGATGTTTTCACAGTAAATATATAATCGTTTTTAATAATCGCAATTATAATTATTGACCCAAATAATCGAGATTATGATTTTTGCCATAATCGAGCAGCCCTACATTGTCTACATATGTTTGTCATGTTCTTTTATGCAAAGATGGATCATTTCAAAATATTCCAAAACCAAATAATGTCGAATGTTGTTGTTGTTGGCTTTTTGAGCTAGCATCACAGCTAACTCCTGTCGTAGGTGTATGTTTTGAAACTGTAAACTGTGAGATGAGCATTTTGAGATGAAAACATCCACTCTTTTAAACTGATTTCTACTGCCTGGAAAGTGATGAGACATATTATAAATAAGTGTCAGTTTGATCATGAGAGGGCGCTGTGAGTCTATCAGAAGTAGTGATTGTGTTTCCTGTGATTGTTTCCCAGAATGGACTTTGACGATGAAGACGGAGAGGGACCAAGCAAATTCTCAAGGTAAGAACAGTGAGAGCAGGTAGCAACGGTCCTGTGAGAAATATTCTAGAACAGTGTGTCTCAAACTTTTTCATACCAAGGGCCACCTAACCAATAAAAAAACACTCGCGGACCACATAACTCCACAAATATCAAAAAACACATCGTTTTTCTAGAACAGATTACAAATCGCCTGAAAAGGGTACAAACAAGTGGCAACATGTGTGATGAAGGTGTTGCACTGGGCTATATCATGCAATTGAAAGTTAAACTTAACCTCGCTCCCTTGCGGAGATATTCTCGCGGGAGTGCGGAAAACTTAAAGGGGAGCTATCATGCAAAATGCACTCTTGTACGTCTTTTATACATGAATGTGTCCCCGGTGTGTCAGGGAACTCACCAAGTGTCAGAAAATACAACCCTCTCTCTTTTCCTCTATACCCAAATCTCTAAAAAAAAGGGGCTGTAACGGATCTAATACAGATTGATCCAGATTTGAATTATTTTCCACGTCACAAAAGGGGTGCTCCACCTATCAGGGGAATGAGAGGCCGGCCATTGCCGCTCGAAAGCAGCGAAGAAGACTTCCGGCGCATGGTTGCCCTTCTGTTTATTCTCCGCTGTGGCTCTTTTTCTCCCTCCCACGAGGCAAGCGTTTGCTCCTCCTGCTTTAAAACAAATGAATAATGACTATATAATCATATGTAAGGGATAATGTGCAGCGACGCGGTCATTATGGGGAAAAGAAAAACGACAGGCTGATCAGGAGCCCGACGCAAAGCGGAGGGATCTAGATCGGCATCTAGATCGGCATCTAAATCGGCAACGGAGATCTCTTTTTCTCCCCCTCTTCTGACAGCCCAGCAGCTGATCTCAAAGCTCCATGTCCTGTGCCGTTGGAGGTCCCGCCGACTACTTTCCTGCCGGGGGTCCTGCCAACCCTATGTCCTGTCCCATTGGGGGTCCCGCCGACTACTCTTCTGCCGGGGGTCATGCCAACCCTATGTCCTGTGCCGTTGGAGGATCCGCTGGGGGTCCTGCCAGCTCCATGTCCAGTCCCGTTGGAGGTCCCGCCGACTACTCTACTGCCGGGGGTCCTGCCAATTCTATGTCCTGTTCCTCTGGGGGTCCCGCCGACTACTCTTCTGCCGGGGGTCCTGCCAACCCCTTGTCCTGTTCCGTTGGAGGCCCCGCCATCACCTGTCTCGTCGGGGGTCCTGCCAACTCCTGGTCCTCTTCCGTGGGGGATCCTGCCGAAGCCTGTCCCACCGGCTCCGGTTCCTGTTCGGCCGACACCGGGTCCTGCCCAGCCTCCGGAGCTGTTTGGTCTTCGCCCTCGAGCCCGGCCCCCTGAGAGCCGCGGTCTTCACCCTCGAGCCCGGCCCCCTGAGAGCCGCGGTTTTCGCCCTCGAGCCCGGCCCCCTGAGAGCCGCGGTCTTCGCCCTCGAGCCCGGCCCCCTGAGTGCCGCGGTCTTCGCCCTCGGGCCCGGCCCCCTGACTCTTCCTGCCGCTGCCGCTGCCTTCGCCCTCATGCTCGGCCCCCTGAGTTTGCCCGCTGTGGCCGTCGCCCCATCATGGACTCTGCCTTGCCCCCGGGCCGTCCGCCCGAGTCCCCGTTCTCGGCTTCTGCTTTGCCCCCGGGCCGTCCGCCCGAGATCCCTTCCGGGTTCTCCGCTGTGCTCCTGGGCTGTCAGCCCAAAATCCCATCCCCCTGACCCCTCCACCCACCCTAGTGGCCTTTGTTCTGCTAAGTTGAGCGTGCCAGTGGAGGAGGAGGAGCTGCCCTCTGCTGCAGAAATACTACAATACTGCTTCTCTTAACCAACAGCTCTAGTTCACTGTGATGGAAAATTCTCAGATCTTTTACTTAAAGGTGACCTATCATGCAAAATGCACTTTTGTACGTCTTTTATACATGAATATGTTTCCCTGGTGTTCCAGGGAACTCATCAAGTGTCAGAAAACACAACCCTCTCTATTTTCCTCCACACCCAAATCTCTTAAAAAGGGGCTGCAACGGATCTGATACAGACTGATCCAGATTTGAACACTTCTGTGACGTCACAGAAGTGGCGCTACGGCTATTGGGCCAACTCCACCAATCAGGAGGAGACAGCCACGGACATTGCCGTTCGAAAGCGCTGGAGACGCTGTAGTACATATGCCAGGCCTGTAGATGGTGCTGTTCTCACAGAATCAGCCCATGCAAAGACAGTGTTAAATTGAAAGAAATGAGGAATGGCTAAAATGCATGATCTGTTTGGTATTTTGAAAAATAAAAAGTATAAATATGCCTTATATAGGTATGGTCCTACACTATATTATTCAAATATAGCATGATAGGTCCACTTTAAGTAAAAGTAGAAATACTGTGGTCTTAAAATACGTCCTGAGTTTAAATGTGACTTAAGTAAAAGTACACAAGTTTTCTGAGCAAAATGTACTCAAGTATCAAAAGTAAAAGTGCTCTGTATTCAAATGGATCTTTTTTTAAAGTTTTATATTATTAAAGAATATAATATCATCCTGTTTGTATCACTAATAATCACTGTGGAATGACTTTTGGATGCTTTGTGTTCTACAAAGTAAATGTATGCATTAACATGATGAATTTATACTATATATATATATATATATATATATATATATATATATATATAAATTCATGTTATTAATGCAAATAGCATGTTGATAGCTAATAAATAAATACACAATTGCATTATCAATGCACCTGTTACACCGGCCATGTTTTTACCATCAAGCATTAAACATTGAGTCTGACATTATGTTGTGACCATCAGTGCATTTGAGGAGTACAGATAGCAAAGCTGCTTCATGATGTCTTTACACTGTGTGTACGATGAGTTACATGTGCGGTCCTCTCTTCTCTGCAGGTATGATGATGATGATCAGATTCCTGGTGTGGAGAATGAAAGATATGCCAGGTAGGCCTAGCCAGCTGGGGGCCACAGAGGATGTCCCCTGAGTCAGGGCCCCACAGACTGCCGGAACACTATACCCCCCTCTGATCCAAAGAACGTGACCTACTAATCAGTGATCCTCCATTTAAAAGTCCTTATTAGACCACACTTGAGTAGTTTATTCAGCAGGTGTGCAGATGTCAGTGAGGCTGGACAACAGAAATACTGATAACTGACTTCTAACAACAAATCACATCACACTAAAGTTTTTCTAACCAATCATATGGCAGCCCACTCTCCAGAGTAGGCGTTCTGTGTCGACACAGAAAATGACAGACCCAAGTCCTCAACAGCTTCAATAATAAGAGCTCTGTCAGATAAACATGGAAACAAAGATGTCTGCTGTGTTGATAGCTCAATCCCTAAAGCTCCCCTAGACACAAAGTGGATGACCTCACATTAGACAGGCCATTTCTCTATGTAAAGGTTTGGATGAAAAGTTCTATCAGAAATAAGGTATTTCAACTTTTGACCCATACTTGATCTTCCCATGTTGCAGACATTTCACAGATTTTCTTTAAAAATGTATATAATCATTTTATGTTTGCATCTAATTTAGTTATTTACTTTGGTATACTACTAGATAATTACAACAGTGATATTGTCTTGGTATAATATTTGTATATACTGTAGGGCTGCTCGATTATGGCAAAAATCATAATCTCGATTATTTGGGTAAATAATTGTAATTGCGATTATTAAATGCGATTATTCATTGACTTTGAAAACATCCATTTATTGTACTTTATAACAAATACAAATAATAATTTGAACTTTTTAATTGTTGAATTATACGTTCAGGGTAATCAACTGAAAAACCAATACAAAAATAAATAAATTATACATTCATGTCTACATTTAAATAAATAATATCAAAATAATAAATACCAATAAACAAGATCAACAAACATGTTGCAGTGCACTGTCACAACCTGAAAACTCCTTAACATAATAGCCAACATTTTGGTAAACATATTCAACATATTCCACTCACTCCACTGGGTCAATAATTGATATCACGATTATTAAAAACGATTATCCATTGACTTTGAAAACATCAATTTATTGGAGAAAAAACATTTGAACAGTGTGTTTTTAACAGTTGATTACCCTGAACTTTAAGTATAATTCAACTGAAAAAAAAGTAATAAAAAAAAAGTAATAATAATACAAAAAATAATCGTTTTTAATTTGATTATGTTGTTTTCGTAATCGTTGCAAGCCATAATCGTAATCGTAATTCGATTAATTGAGCAGCCCTAATATACTGTATATTTGCTCACATAACAAATATGTATTGTGCTGTCATTATTTTGACCATATTACCCAGATATATGAGCCAGTCTTTGTAAACTGCATCCGGTCTGATGGAGCTGCTTACACAACTCATTTTATTTATTATTTATTGGCATGAATATATGCCAACATTTTTGAGAAAAAGAGTATTATGAAAAGTGTACATTTTACAGTTTTGGGTGATTAAAAAAACAATAACATATAAAATATGTTGCTGGCTCACCCTGTGTTGTTATGAGTCCTCAATCGTTTTCAAAGAGGAAACTCAAACCAGACATCTGAAAATAAAATAATGAGTATCTGGCATGCAGTGGTGACATATTCCAGGCAATGGGCCTTCGTGTGTAAAGTGAGATGTAATGGTTTAATACCATTTAATTAAGATGAAGATGAATCAGATTATAGCTGGCTGTTGATGGACCCATCAGTAATTCGGAAGAGAATGGTGATGAGTTTAGTCTCTCGTCTATCCTCTAAGTGTCTAACTGCTCTTCTCTGTTCAGAGAGAACCACAGTGAGATTGAACGACGCAGGCGTAACAAAATGACGCAGTACATCACGGAGCTGTCAGACATGGTCCCCACCTGTAGCGCGCTGGCCAGGAAACCTGACAAACTGACCATCCTGCGCATGGCTGTGTCCCATATGAAGTCCATGCGGGGCACTGGCAACACGTCCACTGACGGGGCCTACAAGCCCTCCTTCCTCACCGAACAGGTACTGGGTTACACAACATCCTTTAATATCATTCATTTCTACAAAGTCATTTTGGTAAAGATAATTGAGTTTTGGAGGGCTATCTGGAAGGCTGGATGCTCTTCCTTCAAATTAAAAGAAAGAATTTGATGGAGAAAATAAATTGCACTCCTTAGATTAATATGGGGAAATTGTCTAGCGTTTTGATACCAATATATTCTGTTTGGATGTCCAACTAATACTCTCCAATTCCCTGATCAGTACATGTTGAGTTATTCTGTGCATCAGATTAAGGGCTCACCTTAACAACATTTGCTCTTATTAAAACCCCGTTTGAAACTACTGGATTAATTCTTCAGCTACTTTTTTTCATCATGTGTTTTTGTACATCTGTTCCATTCTCACCACGCCTGCAGGGAACTTCTTCAGATAAGACACTCCCACTAACATGCACGCTTAACATAAAACTCATGGACACACAAACGACACCCTCACCATTTGTACTCTACACATAAACAGGTACCTTAAAACACAGTCTCACACACATTCAAATATTAACTTTCTGGTCAATTCACTGTTTGTTACTGGAAATGTTCCAAACTACTTGAAATATTTTGATATTAGGGAATCCTGGGAATTGACTCTAGGCAGATCACAGGCTGAGGATTGATTTGAGACCCTGACAGTGGAAGGGGATCCAGAGCATGACAGTTAAATGTTTCCCAGCATGTTCTGTTCTTTACCAAGCGCAGTGTCTGCCTCTTTTCCCATTGAGTCCCAAATAATGAAGGTATTGTGCAGGCCTCTTACCCATTTGTAATCATGGATAATTATTACATTTACTTAATAGTTCATTATAAATTAGCTACCCACTTCAACACTGTCTCTACATTACATTACATGTCACATGTTAAACGCTTTTATCCAAAGCGACTAACATACATTCAGTACTGTGGCCAATCCCCACAGGAGTGGTGGGGTGAAGTGTCTCAGGGACACAACAACATGCTGACTGCAGTGGGACTCGAACTTGCTATCCCCTGATTCGAAGTCCATCATACTACCCACTGAGCCACAGCCTATTAAGAGAGAGGCAAAGGGAGTGCTCTGCTGTTAGATGTTAGGTACTGTGATCAATGCAAATGCTGTTTCCACTGTTATGATAAATATAAAAAGTATAGACAATTACACATTTTCTGCATAATATATAGTGGTGTATTTTTTTTTTATTATACCATCACAGTTTTTCTTAACATTCATTTTGTACATACATATTGCCTTGTAATAACAACAAATTGAATGGTATGATGGTATGTGTTTTGTCATCAGATTATTTCGAATGCACATCCCTACTCTTTCTGTGTTAATGTGTGTGTGCACGTGTTATTCTCTGCTCCCTGTAGGAACTGAAGCATCTCATCCTGGAGGCGGCGGACGGCTTCCTCTTTGTTGTTGCCGCGGAGACGGGCCGGGTGATCTACGTGTCGGACTCAGTGGCGCCGGTGCTGAACCACCCCCAGGCGGAGTGGTTCGGCAGCACTCTGTACGAGCAGGTCCACCCCGACGACGTGGACAAGCTGAGGGAGCAGCTCAGCACCTCGGAGAACTCCATGACAG